GGGGCAGGGGGCTGGACTCAATGATCCTTCGGGGTCCCTTTCAGCCCGAATGTCTATGAAATATCTATGAAATACCTTTCAAGGATTGCTAGTGTTACCCATAACTAGGGGTCTACTTAACTTTCAGGGAGACCAAGTAATTTTTGCAGCTTGGTTGTGGCACAAATTTCTGACTTCATGGGCATTTCCTGGCAGCCCACCCCTTGCCACTGATTGGCAGAGAGGCATCTCCAAATTCCATGGAAAATAAATTGTATAGCTTATCATATTATTATAAATCTAAATATTAAATTTTAAATCTAAATTTAAACATATTATAAATTTATATATAATATAAATTGTAACATATGTCATCATAATTTATTATTATATGTAGAGTTCTACAAAATTTTAGAAATACGAATTAATGCTAACCTTAATAGAAACAATTTAATTTCACTGACTGGCTCCTTCAGTTAGTCTACGTGACTAGCAGAGACAGTAACTCCTAATCACGTGATCTATGGCTGTAGTGATTGTCACATTGTCTTTGTATTATGGTAATTATTGGGACATTCTAAAACAGTGTATTATATGACTAATACACTGGGGGAGGATTAGCTTGATTTTGCAGAAAATCGCAGTTAGTGCAGTATTTCCTGGTGATTGTGGACAATGCCATTTTTTGCATTTTCCGCAAAACTGCAAATTAAGTAGTCCCCCTACCCATAATTATGGCTTTTGCAATCCTTTACTTAAGTAAAGCTCTTAATGAACCATCTGGGTTAATGGTGTGACAGAAGTCAAAGGTAGGGTGAAATCTGTGAACTTCATTCATGTAGTTCCTAACTAGCAGTTTCTGACTAGCCCTTAGATCTTGGCAACTCCTTTTTTTAATTATGTAGCAAGGATGCAGTAACTGAGCTGCCTTCAGGATTTAGTTGCAGAGTTAGATTTCATGTACAGATTGACTACTAGCTGGAGATATCAGCTTATTTCCATTTGATACTGAGGCACAAAGGGAATATTTAACTTTCCTAAGCTATAATGTCACTAAAGTAAATACACTTTAAACAGCAGATATGAAGCTATGCAGAAAAGCCTCTTCCACCCAGGCTTGGAGAACTGAGTGGTGTCTCCAGGCAAACAAGTCTATGGGATGTCATAGGCCTGCCCCTTTAGCAATGTTTGGCAAGAGATGCCGGATTCCATGGGAGACTCTATAGGAGCAGAACGGCTGCAGGGAGTTGGATTTTCATTGGTGAGCTGGAGGTGGTGTTCAGCTAAAGGAGCTCTCAGCCCTCAAAGACAGAGAAGTTGGCTGGGGATTACTCCAGGCCAATACTTGGGCTCATAAAAGCAACTGGAGAAGCTGCTGATACAGCCCCAGGAGTTTGCTTTGTGTGACTGAAGAGAGCAGCAGGACTAAGGTGGAGAGCTTCTGGGTGGAAGTGGGACATCCCAACCAACTCAGCAGTGATGAGAGAGATAGTTCAAGCAATAGGAATCAGAGCATGGCTCTCAAGGAATTCACAGTACACTGAGCACCAATCATTGCAGTGGAGATTTGGCTTTTACCCTATAAGGACAGAAGTCAAGCAGGAGCTTTTGGAGTAATTGAGTAACAAGTTAGATTTTGGCACATGGTGCTGCTTCAAGAGAATGTGCATATTTTCCCTTTGGGTCTCCTCCTGGTTTTGACTTGACAAGCTGCAGGCTAGCCCAGCTTAAAGAGCTGCTGTGGTGCTGAACAGTGCCCATGCCCGAGCTACTTCTCTCTTCCCCAAAGGTGTTGATCAAGATCAAGAGAGTTTTGTCTGGTATCTTGGCCAGAACCTGGGGTCCCCTTACCCAGACATGGTAGACCCAATGCGACGTGTTCCTTTGAGCCTGTTGCTTAGCTTACCCTTTCCCAGTTTCTTAGGAGAAAAGGGCTATGCCTAGATAGCCACTGTCATCAGTGCAGATAAACAGAAGTTCCCCAATGGGTAACTTACACTGACCTGTAAAGGTGGAAGGCCCTGTACTGAAGTGAGAATTTGAGTGCATGGTGAGGTTGCAGTATGCCCAGCCTAGGACCATGGACCAATCAATTTGATGCAACTCAGGCTTCCGATTCCTACCTGTAGTTGCCTTCTCTTGGGATGTCATGAGGATTCATTAGTGACTGTGAAGTATCTGACACTGTAATGACAAGGGCATACAAGTACTTGGGTAGGTGGCTGCAGAAGTTGTCAGTCAAATTCCCACTCATATGGTTCTCTGTCTTTCCCACAGGCTTTGGCATCACAACCAAGTTTTGGGATCGTCCATTTCGAACACTAATCCCAGAGGAAACCTTTGAGAAAGAAGATTAACCACCCTGCTCCATGTTTGGCATCTGGCTCCCACAGCTCTAGTGCACTGGTCTTCCTTCTTTCCTTCCTTCCTTTCATCCTTCTTGCAGTCTGAATGGCTACCCAGACTACAGAGGGAGCTGTCAGCACTGCAAAGCTGTATGAGAGGGATTTGAAGCCTATTTGCTTATGAAGAGTGGGTGTATGTGGGGCAGGGGAGTGGGTCCA